CACTACAAGAAACATTCTAAAACATTTTTAATCGTTTTTGCAACAACCGCCACATCTATTGAAAGCATTTTTGCAATACTTGAATATTCTAGATTATAGTCGAAACCCCCCAAAGCGCCGAGATTTTCACGCAGACAAAACCATTCTTGAATATACGAAACCTTCGTAGAATTTTTTTTTAAGACTCAAATGTTTTAGTATCGCGAAAACATTCCAGATCATTCCAAATTATATTTGGTCTTTCCGAGATCTTAAAAAAACGCTGAAACATATTTAACTCATAATTCGCGAAGGTCAAATAAATATGAGGTAACCTACATCACAGTCGTAAAGAAACATTCGTTTGATAGAAACAAGAACTGTATTAACACTATCGTATATTAATTGCTTTCAGCCATTCTATAGTGTCCTGCAGTGTCGTAGCACGGTGACCTTTAGAGAGCAGAACACCCCACGGAATTTCTTCGCTTTCTCGCTCGGGGGTGCCATATCAAGATGGGCAAGGGGGTGTCCTATGTGGTTTAGTAGGTGTCCCGATTCGTGCTTTCATGCTTCAAGTGCATTTCGACGCTGGTGGGAGAGGGAGGAGGGGTGGTAAGCCGGGGTTATATTGTTCAATTATACTTTTTTTCCCGCGTGCCATTCATTTGAAACGTTTTCTATTAATCCGTGATATCGTTCGTAGTCCCGCACTACCCCGTGGTACAAGAATTGTAAAAAGGGGTGTCCACTCCCTGGACATTTTCGTTTGTGTTGCCCGCTCGTCACAATAATGTGTCTATAATCCGTAGTGACTGTCGCGGGAAAACTGCATAACGATGTCACACTCTTGACTACTGGATCCTCTCCGGTTTTCTTCGGTACAGCACTACTGTACACTCTGGTGCTGTATCTTTCATATCGATGCACAGTATGTATCAAGAAAGTATATCGTTATGATTTTTAGTAAATTGTTTTGTCGGTCACGTATTACGTGTTTAATAGCTGTAAAATGTAGTCTTGGGGTCTGCACGGCCAGTTTAGGTAGATGAAAACTAAGACAAGCCGGTTGGTGCAGACATTTAAGGGGAGGTGAAACGGAAGGACAGATATGTCTCCCAATCATGTCAGTTCTGTTGGGAGTCACGTCTGTCCGTCCGTTTTTGTCCCCCCTCCCCCTAAATTTATACAGGTATTTCAGAAAGCGAAAGCCAATATTTCTTTTGCTGAAAACAAGAACAAAAGCAACTAACATTTATGTTTATAAAGCAATTCAATGCAAAGGTGCAAGCGAGCTGGACAAGAATGACGAAAATGTTCTTGGATTGATTGTTTGTCCCTCATTTGTTTTCTTTACCTTTTTTCCTTCAACGCCCCCAAAATATTAACCCCCCCCCCCCCCCCCCGATAAACACTTATAAAGGTACCACCAGGCTTCTGCATGTAAGTACACCTCAAAGTTTCTGTTGCTTTCGTTTATAGAAACATGTTTGTTAGGGGCATCGAGTTGTTGCTGGGAGACATTGCACTATATTGCTGCAATTGAATGCAATCGTGAATATAGCGCAGGCTTACGATTCGCTTAGTTAGTACACCAAATACTAACTTCGCGCCAAAAAAAAGGGGGGGGGGGGGGAGTTTCTCATTTAGACATGAATTGAAAACGGACTAGGTAAATGATTTGTAGGCAGCTGTAGCTGTTGCAAAAATTGTTTGACATCGATACTGAGCTAAGTCTGTGCGATAATGCTTTCTATTAATCGGCTGTTTTCTGAGATCCACCGCAAGAGCAGTCACATGGCCGTCTAGGGTACACCTTTTAAATTCATTACAATATTATGAGTCAGTCGTAAATGTTGTCTGTGTTTAATCAAAGACAAAGCTTTAGAATCGGAAAATAACAGCGAGGTATCTCAAGGCTTATTAATTGTCCATTCATAACGAATTCCCCTCCCCTCAGTTCCAGTGTTGTGGATGATGTTGTCTGGCGCAGTTTCGAACAAACTGCGACATAAATTGATGGAATGGGGTCTCCTTAAGATTACTATGCAGACATTGACAATACTCCTGTGTACATGTACACGGATAAGTAGTTACTACTATAAATACACCTATTTTAAAGCAAGTCGTATAAGAACCGGCGTGAACAGATCCGTCCCATATTCCTGGAGTTGAGTGCATCAGGAATTACCCAACAGGACATATAACTCATGTCTCCATCCCCGCTCGGACGGACGAGGCCTTCAGCGATCTCACCAAACCCGCCCACGAGTCGTTTTGGTACATGTAATTTCCTGCAGCGACGGAAGTTGTTGTTTACCGAGCTGTTGACACCGCGCCGATTGTTCGCTCTTCCCGCAAGAGACGTACGTAAGCCACGTGTGCGTCGCTGTACGTGTCCCGCGGCACATGTCGCCTTGGCAGTCTGGCCTCCACGCGCGATGCGAACGATATCCATAGTCGCGCCGTCTAGCCGCGTGTGGCCTATCGGACCCTATCAAAACCGCGACCCTGACTCGGTGGTGGACAGAGGGAGACAGAGAGAGAGGGATCGCGCCCACCGTCCTCGTGATTGTGAGCAGCACAGAGTTGCGGTTTTCTGACGAACCGCCGCCAACTGTCCCCCGGCGAACCCGTGATACGAGTTTGTGCGCGCAATCGCGATATCGGCGCCCTATCGGTTGCTGCCAAATCGGGCACCCAGTCGATCGTAGACCCTTTTCAGAACCCTTTAAGCAACATTGGCGGTCGCCATATCTTGGGTCCATCCACCCATGTTTAGGTGACACAAGCTACCATCCGTCACGAAGGATAGAACCACTAACATCCTTCCATCCATCCATCCATTGGGTACGAACATTGTGATTGGATCCGAGTCCTCAACGAACGCTCACACAGCATTCGTCCTCCATACGAACAGAGCCGAGTTCACGCCGAACGCTGACGCAGCCCTCGTGTCCAATATATGCTCAGAGCACCTCGTCAAGCAATTGCGGACTTGGTTAATTGACGCAGCAGCTACTAGATGGCGTGCACTTTTGGAAAGAGTATATTTAGAAATGGTCATGATGCGCGCGATTAGCCGAAAGGTCGTCGCTAGCACGTTTTAAAACTATAATTTTTTTGTAAATGGAAAAAGTGTATGAGTTAATTCAAGGTATGGACCGTTAGATTAAAACATTAAAAGTACGTGCCTGGTTTTAATACAAAATTCAAAATGCAATCCTGCTGTGATATCGAGAAAGTCGTCGTCGTTCTCGGAAGCACCACCGTCTTTCACTTTCATTTTATTCTTACTGTGCCTTCATAACCTTTCCCAGATGATGCAATGTGGCTCTATTGCATCATGAAATGTTATCTCCATCCTCGCTGTGGAAGTTTGCTCTTTATCTTAGATCGTCGCTGAAACTCCTGCCAAAAGTTTCATCATGGAGCACATACAAAGGCATCTGTCTTGGTTTTGTATGGAGCGTGATAATGAGGCTTACGCAAGTTGACCTTACTTCACCTGTGCAGAATAACCACTGTCCTATTGAGAAAGAAAGAATGTTCGACCTATATGAATCATATCTCTTAATACCATATGAAAGAGGCATCTGACATATTATATGCACTTTTGCAGTAAAGAATGAACAGGTACATTTGATGCCTACCTTGCCTGTCAGGTGGACAGGTCAATTTGATGCCTACCTTGCCTGTCAGGTAAAACAGATCAATTCGATGTTTACCTTGCCTGTCAGGTGGAACATAAACTGCATTGTTTTCTTCCACTTCCACATGGTCGAAAATCTTTGGTGCGTTTTAAGCGTACAAAACGTGTATAAGATAGGGGGTATTGTCTTGAACCAATGTTGTAAAGCCTCCTGATAAAACTTTTTACATGTCATAATTTTGCGCATGTTCGTATTTTATACTATAATATAGTATGTTGGACATACAGGTGCCTATGTGTTGTTCTCAATAGGTGGAAGTAACCTTATTTGCAATAAATGTCTGAGAAATGCCTGCAATGCCAGAAGAACACCGCAAAACTTAAGAGATAAGTTGTTTGTAGCTAACCATTTTCCGATCAAAACGCGCTAAATATATTCTGGTCAAGTATGTATTTCTATAAGTTAGCAAGAATCCTAATTCATAGTACGTGACATAGGGAGGGGTGCTGAAAGATTATCGTCAATTGTATTGATTATTTTAGCCTCTGTCATATATAATTATTTTGTATTGAAACTAAGCAGCAAACTGCACCCAGTTCACTTATGTCCTCCCATCCGGTACATATGTTTCAAAGTCTGAATATGAACGTCTATAGTTGTTTGCTGATGAGTCATATACGATTTGTTCTATTTATTTTCACAAAAAAAAAATTAAGTGGTCTGCTACTACCAAATGTACACTGCGCGACATTGTGAGCAAAACCAAGCAATCGTCCTTTAGATTATTACTTTTTTCTAGAATGGAAAAGTTGTTTGCAATTTTACTGCTGTCAAACTCAAGCTAAAGAGTCCCCAGAGGTTCTGCCTCCAGCACGCGCTCGTTGCCTTACCTCGATTCTTTGGCTGTGCGTGCTCACGAGACCTCGAAGTGTCCACGTAGGTAGGAAGCTCGTGCTGGAGGTGGAGATCCCGTCGAATTCTTTACTGGTATTTGACTACAGTGTAGTGAAAAATTATCAGATTGGGAACTAACCTGAGGGATAAAATGTGAAATTCCCCAGTACATGTAAATTGCAAAAAAGTGAAAATTTCGTGCTTGTTCTAACAGTGTCGCACAGTACATGACTCAGTCACGATGCGGAAATTCTTTTTTTATCTTCTAATTGACTAAGAATTGCTGTGCAGGCAAATCGCATTGTTTCTAAGCTGTTCGTGATTGTTCTAAAGTTAGTAATTAACTAAGAAAGACGACCTTACTTTCATAACTAACCTACGTCATAAGTCGTAATTTGTACACATGACAATGCGGCCCCAATTCGTTGAATCAAAAAACGGCAGAGAGAAAAAACATCAGAGTAGACAAGTATGGTAATTTAATTTTGACTAAGCTTTATTTATTCCCGTTCAGTCAAAACAGTCTAGCGTCGAAGGCTGCCACTTCTCTTCCTTGCAGGAAGGCGCCTTGAATGCCAACCTTTTCTTCGTGAACATAACTTGCCAGATGGAAGGCGAGGTCACTGTACAGCAGCGATGGTAGGTCTTCGGGTTGATGAGCAGTCTAGTATTGACTTCTTTTCAGGCACCAAGCGTGACGTCATGGTCATCAAGGCGGGGCTCAGTTGGGAACAGCAAAAAAAGAAGTTCGCATCGATCTACCGTGGTTCGTGGTCGGCGTTTTCCTTCTTGACCGGGGCAGCAGCACTCTCCGGGCCATGGGCGTGATTGCTGGAGTGGTGACCAGCACGTTTCAGCTTATCCACCAGGACATGATGGAACTTCTTGAGGGACCCAAGGGAACCGGAGCGGTGCCGCTGGGGCTGTAAGACGTCCAGATGTTCGCTAGTGCGGAACATCTTGCGCACGTCTTCTCCGTCGTGCACGCAGGGTGACGTGGACAGGCTGGTGCTTCCGGATGGACTGCTTCCGTGGCTGGTTTCTGGTGAACACTTCCGGCTTCGGTTGTAGATGTCGTAGTCGTTGCGCACCACAGGCATCATGAAAGCCATGTTGATGGTGGAGAGAATGCGATTGCTCGTAATCCTTCGCAGAGGGAACGAAAAGGGTTCGTGTTTGACAACGGTGGCGAGAGGGTCGACTTTTATAGGCACTAAAATAAAAGCGCCGTCCAGCTAACCACGTGACATTTGGCTATCGAGCGAAACCAGCAGTACCTACTGTTACCTGCTCACTGACGAACGACCGAATCTGCAGCATGTGATCGAAACGTGGAGAGAGACGGTTGGCTATCGGAGAACGGGGCCATCCCGGTCTCCCTCGAGTCCCGTTATCAATTGCAAACGCAATATCTTTCCGATTATTACGTGCACCCAGTCGCGACTTTAGTCAAGTGTTTTTTATGGCATTGTCGCGACGCCTTTTATGATAAAGATGTTGGCGCCTCCTGCAAGCAACCGTCTTTTTATATATACGATGGATTCCACATATTTGGTGTGCGCCACTACTGGAAGGGCTTATCTCTGTGCTTTCGTGCAAGGTTAAAAGCGACTGGACATCACTGCCGTGCCCCCGCACCGCTTGTCTAGACATTATTTACTTGGTCAAATTCTGGTCAGGTCAAGTGTTTTCTCTAGAATGCGTGTTTCATTCAGTGATCGCAATACTTCTGCTGGAAAGTAGGTTACTGACCAGAGATAGCTTTCAATGTGATGGACGCGTTGTTTATAAACAAACGATATTTGATGTCTGCAAATTTTAGCCTGCTACTCATACGTGATTTTTTAACTATAGCTTTATTTTTAGAAGGAATTAATATTTTACTACATTCACAACTAGTCCTCAATAGTTTACGTGTGACACGTTTGATCAGAAACAGAGTCTGGAGATGATTGAAGTGCTAGTGTTCGGTGCTACTTGTCGAAAGTACCAAGACATTGCAAGTCAAATTGGTTACACACCATGGTAGCTTAGTCTGGCTTTGAAAAGTGGTCGTAAGGATGAAAACCTAATGACTCCAAAACTGAACCTGGGCTGTGCCCCTTATTGTGTCTCGTATGAGTTTTTTGGCGACCAACTTCGTTCTTGCCGCTGTTTAGTGACGGACGAAAGAATGCCATTATACTACGTTTTATCTGAATACACTTTAATAACAAAATAAGATAATTGTTAATAATTTTGTTGATCCGCTACTGTGATCATCTACTGTCACTTTGTCCGAGCGAAGTATGCAAATTGCGTACTTTCATTGTGTCGACATAGTCAGCTCCTTTACTTTTAAAGGGCAAGTTAAATAGCATACCCTCATTATTTTTGCGATACACCATGCTCTTGTTAAAAATAACAGCATATTATTACTCAGATAATCTTTTTTAGAGTCCATGTGCTTCGAACATTACTAAAACCTTGTCTCTTTTTAGCATAAGACTTAGTCCAAGTGCCCTCTAACTTTGCTATATTGTTATTTTTTAATAAAAAATACACTACACCGCCGACGACTCTGAACCGAACGTAGGATTGCAGCGGCAGTATCGAACGAAGCGATTTACAGTGCGCGTCCCCGGTTTCGAGAGTGTACGTCAGTGTTGCCCGGCTGTGCTGGGCTGTGGGTTTTCTCGTCAGTGGGCTTTGGCAGCCTGCGTAGGCGCAATTCCGGACACTGGTGGCGCCTAAATTGCGGCGTTTTATTTTTTATTTTGTGTTCTATGGAAATATAATTTCTCGGGGCTTTTAAGAAAGCATTTTTCTATTTTTGGGAACAAAAACAAACAAATCAAAGCTATTTTTGGTAAGTCCGTGCGCTAGAACATATGCCACTGGAATATTTGTTTCATTTATGCTGATTTTTTTTACGACGCCATGCAGTCAGTCGTGTCAATATAGATAGATCCTAACTGTCGAAAATAGTTGACCACACAGAATAGCCAAAATGAACAACATATAAGGCACGTACCCCACGGTGGCGCGTTATCCGAACAAATTTTTTTCAAGCAAGGTCTCAAATAACACGGTATATTTTCAATATACAATGTCGACAACAGTCACTTCCCGACGATCGAACGGGCTTGTTTTGGTGCACGTTTTGAAGGGAGACGCTTTTTTGCACAGCACCAAAGCAAATGAACGAAAGTGTCTCTTCCGTCCCCATACCCTGCAGGACCGGACCCTATCAGGTATTTTTCGAGAAGACCGAAAACATTCCCAGAAAGGCTTTTCGGAGATTATTTCAACGGAAAAAAAGCCTCGAAGAACATCGAACGGCGCGCGAACCGGGCTGCTTGACGTTCGCCCTCTTCGTTCGTTTTCTGCGAAGACCGAGCAGGCTACGAGCACTTGTATTCGCTTGTTCTCGCAGCGGAAGATAACACCGAAAGGGGTGAGCATCCCGAACAGGCAAGTAAGGTAAAAAAAAAAAAAAAAGAACTTTCAAGAAATGCTGGCGAACTCTGAATGCACAAAGCAGGTGGGGAGCTGCGCTGGCCGGGTTTTTACAGCTAAGACCGGTGGCAGAAATTTCTGGCTGATAAGGGTCGCTTGAGTAGAAAAATGGCTGCGGCCAGAGAGCTCTTTTTGCAAAGGTCTATACACCGTTTCACTTGATGTCGTACTCACGGGTCACGGAGGGAGGAACACATTTAGGTGATGACTCTGGCCGCTCTTCCCGCGGGGAGCGAGTGACCAGATCGTGTTCGGAGCTAGCCTCGAACGAAGGTTTAGTTCCGCGCCACCGCGGTGAGTTTTCCAACTGAGTGGTCTAGTAACGTTGACCCCAGCGAAGGCTAGAAGCGCGAGCTCATAGCACTGGCAGCTGCCCTTAAAGAAACACTGAACCTAGAAAAATATTTTTTTTCTACTTGGTTAGGGCAAGCGCATGTCTCAAAAAGTATGTTCGTGTAAACAAATTGTTTTGCCCCCTATTTATATTACAGTAATATTCTTTTTATGTTTTAATTTGCGGGTGAAACCAAATTTTGTTTCCCTGTGGGATGATGATGATAGCTTTTGTTTAGCCAACTTGTGTGCGCTCTAAAGTCCAGCGAACTTACAGCGCACACTAGTTGAGTGCAAAGGTAATTATTCTTCATCTCAGAGGGGTACAATTTCGGTTTCTGCCGCAAATTTTAAAATTCACGATGTAGCATAAATATTGCGCAAAAAAAAGTGTATCCATTAAAAATTATGTTGAAACATATGCCTCTTCTAACCAGGTAGACATTTTTTTTCCTAGGTTTAGCGTTTCTCAAGGCACGAGAGCTTGGGCCGCCGAGATGAAAGCAATGAGCTCGCACTTGTAGCTCCTCCTGCGGTACATTATATTGTGAAATAGAGTATAAAACCACTCAACTCACTGACGTCACGCCACCACGGTGGCGCTGGTGTTGGTTCTGCGCATGCAGAGAAGCTTCACTCCTCCCGAATTCGGTTTCTGCGCACGTGCAGTGACCACACCTGCTGTGCCAGAGAGGGCTTCTTTTTAAACACTGTGTTGGTGTATAGCTTAGTCTAGAGCCACTAAATGAGCTGCGCTGAGAGTATCGGCACTCTGTTTTCCCGACATTGTTGTGGGCGCCGCCATTTTGGTGCCTGTGCAGAGCAGACGCAATTGCCGATCGACATATGATTCAAAAGTGCGACTTCCTCAGCATTAGATTCCGTGTTATGAAACTTATGTAATATTGCTTTGCTTTGCCGCGAATTGGTTAAACATATGTGAAGGGCGGAAAAGCGTTTCCTTTGATTTCAAATAAATCTTCAGGTAGCTGGCAACCATGATTTTAAGCCACAATATGGGCAAGTGTCGTTACCCTGAAGCGTAGCTTATTTAGTGGCGCTAGCTCAGTCACAGGTTTGCATGCTGCGGAACTATTTACTGTAAGTATTGGGGAAGAGATCGAAGAGTCGCGCCTCGGTACGGTTCGGCTGTGGGAACAACAAATAGTATTTTCATGTTTGCTTTTGATCAAAGAAATCGAAGATGACAATTCAAAGGCCGCTTCTCGTACGACTAAAGCATTGGTCAGAGAGAAGCGCTCTTGCCCAGACCGTGCTAGGCGAGATTCATTTTCTTTGTTATGCTGTGTTAGTAAACACCGGGCTGTGGGGACAACAAGTTCTATAAAGCGCCCCTATAGTTCCATCTCCTGCATGCATATTGGGCAGTAGATCAAACTATAGGGGGCGCTTTAAAGCTTTGGTAGCGTACTGTTACCAAAATTTGGCTACGGCAAACTAAATAAAAAAGAAGTATATTTTATATTAGTTACTAGAACTTGAAACTCTTTTTGGTGTAACCTGATGCACATGTACTTAATTAATATGGTATAGATAAAAAAAATGTCTGCTACGTGGACGAAATTGCAGGCAACATTATCTATGCGAGATAATTATGGGAAAGATAATAAAGATCACTGAACTGTTTTCTATGCTTGGCTCTAAAACCTTCAAGGCGTGTCTACTGATCCTTTTCTTTTTTGGCATTTGTTGTCCTTTTTGGCATTATAATAGATAAGTACATAAACGTGCATCCGATTGCATATTTCAAAGTATATATTTTCTGAACGTGGTTCTTCTCACATGTTTTCATTATATTTGACAGGGCAGTGCCAATCGCATTAAACAGGATGTTAAAGATTGATATTGTTTCCCCTTAAAAGCCGCCGTCTGTTGATTGTCGGCTTTACCACCAACTAATGGGCATGCTATTCCCCTTATATGATGTCCCCGTGGTTATAAAACTCATCTGTACAAACCACATTAGTGCAACTTTCACGTTTTTTTTTTTTATTCTGAGATTTGTAAAGCACTAAGAACAGCCTTCATATATGTCCATATCTGGCCTGTTTTGCCCTATTATTGATACTGACATATATGGACTTTCTATACGGGTACCTCTACCCACGATTGAATTCCTTGACAGGGTACAGTACGGACGCCCTTTAATGACCGCATTTCGCAATCGATATCACGATCGTCTAGTCAGAACGCAATATATGGCGAGGATGTTCGATTAGACACGCTGCGTTCCTTCCGGAGCCGTCGTTATCACAGGTCGGCTAGACTTAAGCAATCGGAAAATTCCAGATACTGCGAAAATAGCCAACGCACTTTCGAGAATATTCGCGAAGGCTCACCTCGAGCAAGATAGCACCTCCGCTGTTTCTATTCTCAAACGAGGCACAGATAATTTCCTTGGGTGTGCATTTGCATTCGACGCAGATTTTGAATCAGTGACTATGACGAAAGCGGAATATCTGACAGACATTGCCTTGTCACGATAAAAGCTCCCACGAGCTTTTATCGTGACCCCCCCCCCCCTTTTTTTTTATTAAAAAGGAAAAGAAAACGAAACGGGAACAATAAAATAATCGCTTTCGACCCACAATTTTTTTTAGAACCTTCAGGCGGGTAAGGAAACCGAACCAAAAATTGCACCGTAACTATTGTAAATTTTGCGGGCTGGCTATTTCGAAAATGTAAACAGCCAATGTGTCCGAAATTGCGTAGAGAAATTAAATAAACTAAATTTAGATGTGACCTGTAAAAAGCTCCTATTTTGGAGCGAATTCGGAGGGTCCTACCACGACATGTCCGCAAATGCTTTCAGGGGTACGTCACTGAAATGCTTTCCCGGATTTTATGTGGAATTCGCTAACTTTCAGTTTAAGAAATCTGGAGCTTTTGTTCTCCCGCCAGCACCTGGGAGAGTCAATCTACAGAGGGTGCTCGGCCAATGACTGGGCTGATCAACAGTGGTTAAGTCGCGGGAGTGGCATGGTGGCGCCATCTTCATAAAAGACGGCAAATCAATGGTTCCGGAAGTGCGCCATCTCTTTGACAGCCTGGGAACTAAACCACCCTTCGTAATGCCGCGCGCTGCTTAAAGGTTGAAGTACAGTAATTCAAGCGATATCCCTGTATGAATTAAATTACCAAAACAATGCGCTCAGTATCGAGAGTTCTGCCCATAGTCTAGAGCCTGCGAAAAAGATTTTGTCGTTGCCTGGCAGAACATTTTTCACCTGGTTCTGTTCAGAGTGCCAGGTATACCTACAAACTTCATAGCAGGGCCTAGACTAAAACCCCGAGACTAGACTGAACGAGGGACGACACTACACACAAGTCTCAAACACACCTCAACTGTGTTTGAGACTTCTGCGTCAACTTATCCGAGCTCGTTCTGTCGTTTCTTGGTTTTAGTCTGCAATGTTCAACCACAGCTTGCGAGCAGTTTGAGGCCCCGCGGTTCTACTAAAAAGTTATGTACCTAGCGCAAAATTCAGTGTCAGAGGTCGAAATGAACCGAAACGATACTACGTATCCCAACTATGTGAAGCAAGTGGTAGATTGATGAGAATGAACATCCGCTATGCAAACGACACACCGTAGAACACTTCTCACCAGGCAAACATACGTTTACGTCTGAGAATGTATCTTTGATAGTGTGCCCGTGACGGCGAAACAGAAGCGGTAAAGGCGGCTTTTAAT